GAACTGCAGTCTCGTGTGCTGATGGACAGGATCACAGCTCTGAGCCATCTCCGCTCTCTCTCTAGATGGGTGGTGGAACCCTCCACAGGGATAGGGCTGTGGCGAAACCTGCAAATCACTTAACGTAGGCTCAGAAAGAAATGATGCACTTCCATTCCAAGTATCTTTCAGAAAAGCAGACTATTGTTTGAAAACAGAAATTAGAAAAAGAAAAAAAAAAGAATGGTTCTAAGGTGTTTTTTAGGAAGTTTTCTTTTGAGGCTGCTAGGGTCTTGGAATGTCAGAGGTCCAGCCACAGTAGGGAATGAATAGAAAAGGTAGCAGGAAAAACAGGGCCTGACTGGGCTGGAGAGATGGCTCAGCGGTTAAGAGCACTGGCTGTTTTTCTGGAGGTCCTGAGTTCAATCCCCAGCAACCATGTGGTGGCTCACAACCATCTGTAATGGAATCTGATACCCTTTTCTGGCCTGCAGGCATCCATGCAGACAGAGCACTCATACCAAAAACTTACATACATAAATAAAATTTAAACAAACAACAAACAAACAAAAACAAGACTTTGGGGTGGGAGTAGAGTTGTCGAGTAAGAAATGTTCTGCTGGTTTAGTCCTCACAGGAACACGTGAGGGAGCAGCTTCAACGCTGTTCTGCCAGAAAACATTGGGCCTCTGCGCCACAAACGAAACCACCAGATCTCAGTGCTTAATGGAGCTGGCTCATTATATGGTTCGAGGTTTTGAGTAATTTGCATTCAGTAAAACATCACACACACTGTTGCTTTCAACTTACTGGAGAGCAGGCTTTGCTTCACTTTGCTGACAAGTCAGTGTTTTAGCCTGGAATTTCTTAAAGTATGACTAACTAGTCCAGTTGAAGCCTGTTTTTTTATAACCCCCATTAAGGCAAGGAGAAACACTCTGATCAGAATATAAAACAGATTCCCATGTACCTTGTAGACACTGGAAGACATTAACATACAGATTCTTGAGGATCCTGGGTTGTCAGGGATTAGATTTAATGTTGGTTTGATTGAACCATACACATGGAATGCCTCAGTAGTACAAGGAGGGGAAGAATGGCAATGGTTTGAAGATGAGAACTCTGGGAGAGGGTGTAAAGCTGAAGTCTACTGCCTGCTTGGAGCCTGATTCCCAGTGAGGTTGGCCTTCTCTGTCCTTATACGATGAGCACTTTTCAAGGGAATACCATAAAAGTCGCAGTTTCCTAGCTTGCTGGTTGGGTCCTAACCAGGGTCAGATTTGTGCCAACCAAGTTGTATGCTGTTTGTTCTACAAAGAAAAATGACGCCATGTTCCAAATGCTGGAATCCAGCTAAGTGGGATCTGAGTGTGGTCTTGGGCTAGGTTAAATACCATCCCTAAGGTGTGGATTTCGGTTTTTTGCGTCTAGTGACGTGTGGGAGAGATGGGCTTTTAAGATTATTTCATCCCAACTGGGTCTTCTGATGTCCGAATGTTGCCCTTTCTGAGCACAAAGGGAAAAGTGTATCCCACTAGAAAAGGGGAAGTGCTGTGCAATGTTCTGTATGTTAAATGTGTTGCTCTTATTGGTTAATAAATAAAACACGGATTGGCTAGTAGCCAGCAGGAAGTATAGGTGGGACAAGGAGAGAGGAGAATTCTGGGAAGTGGAAGGCTGAGGCAGAGAGATGCTGCCAGCTGCCATGATGAGAAACAGATGTTAAGATACCGGTAAGCCACGAGCCACGTGGCAACTTATAGAGTAATAGAAATGGGTTAATTTAAGATATAAAAACAGTTAACAAGAAGCCTGCCATGGCCATACAGTTTGTAAATAATGTAAGCGTCTGTGTGTTTATTTTTTAAGTGGGCTGTCAGACTGCCGGGGATTGGCGGGACCTGGAGAAAAAACTCCAGCTACACATGACCTTTGTGGTGGCAGAGTTTTAGTGAATTACCAACATCATCTTCTTCCATAGACTTAAAAATCTTGATAGTAGTTAGCTGCCAGATTTAACCCTTCGGTGCGCCTGTTGTAAATAAAGCCAGTGAGCTTAAGCAGAGCTGCATGGGACAAGGCTCGATCTTCAGTGGCCTTTGTACCTTGAATTTAGACAGGAGGGAGGATCATTGAGTAGACTTAATCCTTACCTTAGAGTTGGCCTTTAACATATTACTCTGCTTTGGCTTCGTCTGTTGTGCTGAATGTAGCCATAGCATTTCTATGTAGACCAATTTCTCAGTGGTCTTAATAAATAAAAAAACACGGAGCCAAATATAGGGTAAAAACCTTAGAGAGATCAGGGAAATGGGGAAAGCCACCAGCGAACCTCACCTCACCAACTCTGCAGCTTCCAATATGCCTTGCTGTTCTGCCATGTATATGACTTGCTGTCTAGCTATATCACTTCCTCTTCCTGGCCAGCTCTGTCACTTCCTGTCTGTACAGGCCTCCAGAACTCTGTGGTTGGTACTGGGATTAAAGGCGCATGTCACCACTTGGGTCTGTTCCCTAGTGTGGCCTTGAACACACAGATAGGATTAAAGGCATGTACGACCAATGCCTGACTTCTTTGTTTACTTAAAATGGCTTGCTATTTCCTCCGATCTCCAGGCAAACTTTATTTATTAAAGCAGAAATAAAATATCACCACATTTCTGATTTAAGCAACATGGAGTACAGTCAGCACAGGTAAGGCCCCTTTTGTGAGTCAGTTCCAGGGTAATCCTTGTATACTTCCATTGAGTTTTTAGATGGAGTTGTGTTGAAATAGTATCCAACCTGTTTTCTACCTCGAAGGACAAGTCTATAGAGAATAGTTCATGGTGGAATGGTGAGGGAGGAGAGCTTGGGGCATAACCTGAGAGGACCATCTGGAGACTTGAAATATGGCAGCTCACTGGTTTTCAAGGCCTGAGCTGGGGAGTTACAGGAGCTAAGTTTGCCACTTGAATCCTGGGTTTGCTTTTGCTGAAGTACCTTTGTCATGGTGTTTTAACAGGTTCTCCTGTCCCTCTGTCCTCCCGATACACTGAAACCAGTCAGATTCCATTGGCCTTAAGACATACATAAAGTGGGGTTCTGTGCTGTGTCATGGTGTCATCGATTTAGTCAGTGAAGATCACTGTCCAGTTTGAATGGCCGTCCAGTCACACAGACACAGTGGTCTATGCAGATCTTGAGAGTAGTGGGACGTCTTCTAGTAGATGGACACAGCTCTGGTGATCAACCCCAGAGCCTCGCCATTTTCTCTTCCTCACACCTCCACAATCTGCGCCGTTCCCCAGAATCAATCAGCCATTCTTGAGTTTTGTCCCTGTGGAAGAGTTTTACTTGCCTTGAACTTCAAAAGGAAATAGCTTGATAAATAAATGGAACTATGTGTCAACACTTAGTTTTTATATATTTCAGTCTGAACTTACCAACATTTGTCAACTGTCATGTGGCTATTGGAATTATATTTTATTTATTCATCTTTGTGTGTGTGTGTGTGTGTGTGTGTGTGTGTGTGTGTGTGTGTGTGTGTGTGTCTGTGAGTGGCACAGCTCAGGGATGGAGGACAACCCATGAGAATCAACCCTCTCCTTTGACTGTGTAGCGAGGATCGAACTCAGATCCTCATTCTTGATGGCAACCGCCTTTACCCAACGAGGCACCTTGCCAGCCCATGATTAGAAATATAAACACAACTGTCAAAGAATGACAGTGGGCGATGAGAAACTTGTGCGCAAAGCAGACCCCACTAGAATGCAGTTCCACAGAGGGGGCTGGAGCAGAAGAGCCTGCCTTAGAGGTTCGGCAAGGGCAGGAGTGGCCCAGGCTGGCCCTGCTGTTTTCTCCTTCAGTGAACACACACACACACACACACACACACACACACACACACACACACACAGCCCTTCGGCTCTGTTGCTCAGTTACTTTCCTGCACACAAAGGATTTCCTCACAGCCCTGTGTGCCCTGATGAAAAAGAGGCCAGAGAGACAGTGTGGGACACTTTTCTCCAGGGCAGGAGGCTGAGGATAGTCGTGGATAAGCGAGACCTCCCACTGACTGAGACACTTACACCTCTCTTCCTTCGCCAATCCCATACTGCTTTTCCATAAGCATGCTGCTTCATTTTTTCTGTTTTTGCTTCTGTGGGATAGGGTTTTGCTATGTGTCCGAGGCTGGACTTTAATTCATGATGATCATTCTCCTGGTTTAGGCTTCCAAGTGCCAGGATTGTAGGTGTGTGTGTGTCCCTGGACCCAGCTTTTCTTTCTTTGTGTGCCTGATGCCTTCCTTGGTGTCTCCTGGTGAGACAGTCATGTGACTTTGTTGGTACAATCTGTCTTACCCAGAAAAGTAGTTGATAGTTTTCAGCTTCCTTTGTATGTCATTATATAGTGAATGTTTCTACGTTATTAAAATTACTTGAAATCTTGACTTCTAGGTATTATATAACTTACCATGGTCATACTGTATAATAATATATTAAATATATAAGCATGTATACCATATATAATATACTAAATTCTGTGTATGTATATATTTTCCTTTGAATAACTTTGTAAGATCAATTTAAAAATGTTGAATTTTTTAAATCAAAAACAAAATTGCCCTGAATTACAAAAGAAGATAACCCCATTGCATACACCACTGAGGGTGAGCATTCTTATGACTTGGATGTCTTTTATGCATATTTTGGAGAGTAAGCCTTTCTAAAGCATTGTAGCAAACTCTCTCTGCCAAGGTTGCTCTTTGCTTTGCACTGAATCTGGAGAATGGTGAGCCAGTGCTTATGTGAAGTACGTTAATGTATATGGGGAGTCAGTCGCCACTGATGGAAAGGTTTAAAGATGACAGTGTCTGCAAATACTTGGCATGGGCATTAATTCTCATCCCGTTGTGTGTGCGGATTTTATAGTATTAGATGATTGACAGTTCTGCCCAGTTAGCTGACATGCCTGCCATTCAGAAGATTTTATAGGTAAAATGACTGAGCACTGCTCTTTCTCCCTCTTTGTCTCCACAGAACTATCCGAGTGTGGCTGAAAAGAGACAGCGGCCAGTACTGGCCCAGCATCTACCACACAATGGCGTGTAAGTCACACAGTTCTCCACTTAAGGGTCTTGTTTCTGATGCCTTTGATGACTTAATTTCAAAAGGCCTGGCTAAAAAATTGCTGCTGGATTTCAGAATATGCTCCTTTGTTGCCTAAGACTCTGACAGGCCGTAATAAACCACAGGAACACTCCTTTCCAGAGGCACTTTGTCTACCAGCCTAACTGAAACAGGACCACAATCGAAGAAAGAAATGATTGCAAAACAAAACAGGAAAAGGCCATTTTCCTTCATCCGAATTTGTCCAGCTTTAACTCCGTAGTGACGTCACAAAAATGACCTTTACAGTTTCTTAGCTGTGTAAGCACTCTTACCTTGGCAGATATTTGGAGGTTGTAGGAAAACTTGGAGTGTCGATTCCGTTCTGTCTCCCATGTGGGTACTGTGGAGCAAACTTGGGCTTTTCAGCATCCTCCGCCTTTAAATGCTGAGAGCCTTCTCATTGGCCCAGCAGTCACTTTCTCCTCAGTGGTTAGGGTCAGTAGTTAGGTTAGTGAGTTAGCAGCCTTTCCACACTGTCCCTCAGTGTTGTAGAAAGATGTGGACCAAGGATCAACACTTTGGAGATGGAGAGTCTTCTCAGAAGCTGGCCATGGAGCCCAGTTGGAAGAGTGTTTGCTTAGCATGTTTGCAGCTCAGTTCAGTACCCAGCATGGCATGAAACTGGGCATGGTTGCCCATAGCTACATAGCAAGATTCAAGACCAGCCTGGGCTACATGAGACCCCGTCTCTTAGGATGCCCTGACATCGAATTACCCATACATCGTCAAGCCAGTGTACACACCACCACGTTACCATGTCTCTGTCTTCCTTCTTTTCTTCAGCTTTTCTCAGACAAAGCCCCGCAGAAAATGCCTGGATGCCACCCAAGGCCAAGTGGGAGGTCACTCCTTCTGTCCCAAAACAGCCACAAAGGAGGCAGCTTCTGAGGGAATTCTCTATTTAGAAAGTGTTCCACCCTGGGCCTCCGTGACATGGGGAGGTGGGGTGGGACAGGAGCAGGCTAAAGGCTAGTCATACTCACAGGAGTAAATGGAGTACATAGGCCTTTTTCGTAACGGGGTCTTAGCTCCTAACTAGTGAGTGAACATCCAGAACTGTGGGACTCCTTGAGGTACTCTTCCTAGGTGACCCTCTAGGAAAAGAAATGGATTTGTTGTGAGCTTAATCGTTTGTTACTGAAGGACACTGTGAAGTTCCTCCATAAGAGGCCTCATGTCAGTTGTCCTGGTTACTGTTGACACTGGTCACAGCTTTCCTAAGAAGCATTCCGAAAACGCCGCGTTTGTTACGAGTATGGATCAGCAGTTATTCAGGACATTCGGTGTGATGGGAATGTTAGTGGTTTTTTAGTGTTAGACCTTCCAAGAGCTTTGGACAGCTGGTCAGCTTCTTTATGTTTATAATCACTCAATGAAAATGAAACACTTTTGGAATCCTGCTTGATAGTAAGTATTAGCAATGGAATACAGAGCACATTGGAAGACTCCCTGAAAGGCTGCTCGTGATATGCCAAGTAGTAGAACCTTCTTGTTGCCCGTGTCTGCGTGTATTATGGCAGCACAGCCTTGGTTCCTTACTCAGAATTCTCTCCTTAACTATGAAGCGACCGCCTCAGTTAAAGCGCTTCTGGAGCCTGTTTGAGCAACAGGGCAGCAGGAGGTGATATCCTCTGGGCCTCGTTAGCTACAGCAGCCACACAAGAGGCTTCGGCTGGACTCGTGGCTTCTTACTTCCCAGTGGCTCAGCCGCAGATCTGGTCGCTGAGGGAGCAGCGGTCCGGGAAGTCACCCCAGTGCTGGCAGAGCGTGCTCGTCATGGCGAAACACGTCTTCAGTGCTGCTGGTGTTCCCCTTCTCAGGCTCCCGGCCCTGCTTTCCTCCATAGTTCACAGTAGGGTTATAACTCAGCCTCTTGGGTCCTGAACATTGGGGCTCATGCTCCTAAGATGCTGGTGCCCCCACGTTCCATTGTTACTCTTCAGATTCCCCATCCCTCCTCCCCTGTCCCTCGAATTATTTTTCTTGCAGTGCTGGGAAGCTGTGTCTCCAGCCTTCCCTTTTCCAAATATTTTGTGCATCTTGATTATGAATTAGAAACAGTAAATTACATCTATTTATATTGTGTGGAGGGAGATGCTTCCAGTGGAGGTCAGAGGACAGCTTGTGGGAATCTGATGTCTCCATCTACCATGTGGATCCTAGGGATCAAACTCAGGTCATCAGGCATGACAGAAAGTGCCTTTGACCACTGAGCCCTCTCGCTGCCCCTGCTGTGACTGATTTCTTTTCCCCTTAGGGTACCGGCACCTCATCATGGCTGTTAGATCTTGAGCATGTGACCATGGTCCTCTCTGTCCCCATCCATCCTTTTCTTGACTTCACTGGCTCTCTTGAGGTAGTTCCCAGTTTAAGAAAGAGGGCTGGTGCCAGACGGTGGTGGCTCACGCCTTTAATCCCAGTACTCAGGAGGCAGAGGCAAGCGAATCTTTGAGAGTTCGAGGCCTGGTCTGCAGAGCGAGATCCAGGACAGGCACCAAAGCTACACAGAGAAACCCTGTCTCGAAAAAACAAACAAACAAAAAAAAAAAAAAAAAAAAAAAAAAAAAAAAAGGAGGGCTGGAAAGACTAGGCCCGGGCTCTGCAGTGACTGCCTGACACTGTAAGCCGTGTTTGTTTCTACACACAGCTGCTGCTGCTGTGATTTGTTGTTACTGTCTGAGACAAGGCATCACTCTGCTGTAGCCTGGGCTAGCCTTGAACTCACAGCAGCCTTTCCGCTCAGCCTCCCAAGTGCTGAGCCCCAGTCCCAGCGGAGACACTTCCGTATTGCCTAAGCGTCAGTAGCACGGCAGTGAGGACATAGAGACATGGATTGTGAAAAGTAACTGCTATTTTCCCATGGCATTTCTTGCATAATTAAACTCAAAATACAAGAAAGATGTCCTTTCTCCAAACGATCTGCAGATTACTGGATTTGAGATGTTTAGTGGCCGTCTACTTGGAGCCAGTTCAAAGCTGCATACATCCAACTGAGTTGTGTACGATGTCAGTGTCTACCATCACCTGCAGAGTTCTTGAATGCAACCGAATAGTCCTTTCCTATGTGCGATCTTACAATCGTCCTGGGGTGCAATTCTGGACATAATGCCGATTGCCTGTAGTGCCAGCGATGCAGGGCAGAGATAGGAAAGATGATGGAAACAGGCAGATCTCAGAAGCTCATTAGCTAGCCAGCCTGGCTGAATTGGTCAGCTGCAGGTTCAGTGAGAGATGGTGTCTCAAAACAGGAGAGAGAGCAAGAAAAGACACCCGATGTCTGCGCCTGGCCGCACATTCATACACACATACACGAAGAAGTATACGCGCCACACACACCAAATAAATAAAAGCCAAGAAATGCATAAGCCTAATGGAATGAGAAAACTTCAAGTTATTTTCAAGCTCTAACTTCCTTTGGAGATTTTTTTTCTCTTTGACTTTTCCTTTGGGGATTTGAGACAGTGTGTCACTCTGCGTGGACACCAGGCAGCATGGAACTTTCTGGGTAGGCAGTTTGGCCTTAAATTTTGATCCTCCTCCCTCTACCTTCTAAATGCTTAGTTACAAGCTTGCACCACCCAGCCCAGCTTTTATTTATTTGTTTGTTTGTTTATTGTTGGTAGACAGTTTTAATCCAATGCCACTTTAATCCAAAGCCACACACATCTGGTTTATTCCCCCCTTCCCCCCCCCCCGGCATGCATTTTTATGCTATGGGTCTTTCATTGCTAGTTAAAATTATTTATGGGGAGTGAACCCAAACAGTTCTGTCTCCAAATGTTCGGTTTTAGGAGTCACATTTGTTCTGATTTAAAAGAAGACACTTTGGAGTTTCTACTACTTAAGAAATTCTGTTGCCCATGATTTCTGGAAGAGGGATGGGTTGGCCATAGCAGGTGTGTGCATGAAAGAGGTCGATGCTGTCCCATGCAGTCACAGCTCCGCTTACTGCAAACTGGGGTGTGTGTGCTATTGCAAAGGGATTAATTTTTGTTTTTCTCTTGAGGAAAAAAGTAATCCCGTGGTGGGTTTCCTTGCTTGTTCACATATGCCATGGGATTGGCCTTCTCATGCCAGTACCCTTCATTGTTTAGAGTCCAACTAATCATTGGTCTTTCCTGGGGAAGGGTGGCAGGGCAGGGTGAGCATCTGGATGTCAGAGCATGCCCAGAAACACTGGTTCTGGAGGCATCTGTGCTGTAGCAGGAGTCAACCCAGACGAGACTTCACGCTGGCAAACTTCACCCACAGTTCTAAAAGTAACCGTGGGATGACTTACACCGTTCCAGTTTTAAGCATAAGCCACAGGAACTTCAATTACATTTTCAATCTGTACAATTTATTTTTCATGAAGCATTTTTGTCTATTTTTAAAGCCTAAACTGCATAACTATTCTTAATAATAATATGCTTTTAAAAATGGCTTCCAATACTTACCTTTTCTCACAGTGTGGTCTTGTCTTTCTGGCAGCTCCTTGCTCTTCTATGGCTTACCATCACGACAGCAGACGGATATTTGTGGGCCAGGATAACGGGGCTATAATGGTAGGTAGTTTCTCCGATATATTCAGTATGTCCTTTGTAAGACCACCCCTCGTTTACTTATGCTGACCATGTTTGGCGTGAGCAGTGTCGGATTCATCATCGATGTTAGACTGAAAATGAGTTCAATTTAATTAAATGCTTCTGAACTAATTTCTATACATCTCAAAATGCTCTCGTGATTGGCATATTGGTACTCAGGTCACCCACAAAGCATAGACTTTTTACAGTAGATTCGAGAACTTTAGTGGCTGCTGTCTTTGACAGGGTAATGGAGAACCTCTGTGTATGTGTGAATATTTGTGAAAGACAGAGCTGAGAAGACAGACCAGCTATTCTTTCAGGAACTCATGTGGTTCCAGAGGAAAGCAGTGCACCTTGAACCACCTTTGGTGGAGGATAGGATATTTAAATTTTCAGTCTGTTACTGACTGGTGTTTTTTATACATTTAATCGTGTGTACATGTCTGTTCATTTCCTCGATAGAAATGTAACTCATGCACTGTATTGGCCATCATTTTACATGTACATGTTAGTGGTTTGTAGTGGTTTGTATTCTCATTAGATCATGTCAGCATCACCCCTTTCTAATTGCAGAACATTTTCACATCCCACAAAGAAAACTTGTCTTCATTGGCAGTTGCTTCCTAATGCACCTCCCCCATCTAGATATCTCTAATCTACTTTCTGTGAATGGGGAGTTGTCTATCCTATCCATTTTGTGTGAACAGAATCATGTTCTGTGTGTGGCTTCTTATGTGTGTCTTCCCTGCTACAGTTTGGGTTAGTTACTTCATCCCCTTTTATGGTAGACTAATGTTCTCTCAGATAGAGTATTCTCTTAGATAGAGAAATTACACTTTGTCTATTGATGAGTTGACTGCATTGGGATTATTTCCATGTGGGGCTGTTGTGAACACTGCTGCTAGTAACATTGTGTATAAGTCTCTGTGTGAATCTACAGTTTTCAATTTGTTAGATATATAGGAATGGAATTTTGGGGTCATATGGTGATTAACATTTCAGCAAATCTTCTTCCATTTTATTTATTTATTATTCATTCATTCATTCATTCATTCATTTATTCATTTATTTATTTATTTTGAAAGAGCCTTACTTTATAGGCCAAGCAGCCCAAGAACTCACCCCCTTAGTGCCTTTACCTCCAAAGTGCTGATCTTAGAAGCATGCACCACCATCCAGTACCCTGGGTTTGGGTTGTAAGTTCTTGCTTAAAGTTTTGTAAAGCCCAGTTTATCTTTTCTTTTGTTTTTTTGTTTTTTTTGTAGTTGCTTATACTTTGGCTACAATATCTGAGAAACTTTTAAGTACCTGGCTCAAGGTTATTTATTCTATTGTCACAGGAGTAAACTAATCTGTGGCCATATCACTCTGAGTGTGCCTAGTCCTGTCATAGGAACAGATACATTACACTTCTCTTTTCTTCTAAGTGTTTGACAGTTTAGCTTTTATTTAGATCTTGGCCCCATTATTAATTTCTGTAGATGGTCTGAGGGATGGTTTCACACTTACCCTTTGGCATGTGGATACCCAAAGTTTTCCCAATACCATTTGTATTTTAATTTTTCAAAATTTATTTTACATACCAACCACAGTTTCCCCTCCCTCCTCTCCTCCCATTCCCTCCCCCCACCTCCTATCTACCCACCTTCCATCCACTCCTCAGAGAGGGTAAGATCTCCCATGGGAGTCAACAAAGCATGGCATATCAAGTTGAGGTAGGATTAAGCTCCTCTCCCCTGCATCAAGACTAAGCAAGGCATCCCACCGTAGGGAATGGGTTCCAAAAAGCCAGCTCATGTGCCAGGGACAGATCCTGGTCCCACTTCTAGGGACCCCACAAACAGACCAAACTACACAGCTGTCAGCCACATGCAGAGGGCCCAGGTCAGTTCCATGCAGGCTCCCTAGCTGTCAGTCCAGAGTCTAGGAGTTCCCAGGAGCTCGGATCAACTCATTCGTATTTTCTTTTCCCTTGTGTTTACTTGGCACCCTTGTCACAGCCAGTCAGCAGAGATTCCAGAAGTGAAAGCTCTGTAAAGACTTGAGGTGACCCAGGTTTGTGTTGGAGGAAGGTATCTTGGCTGGGTGGCACTGAATGATAGAGGAAGGACCCAGGCCTAACTGAGATGTGGACCAGGGCCAGGTCATGCAAGACCCATGGGTCAATTTAGTGAGAAGCTAGCAAAAGGTTTTTGACAGGCAAATGATGTATTGTAATTCATATCCTCCTCCACCTCTCTCAGATAGGATTTCACTACACTGCTCAGGCTGGCCCTAGAATCTACTGTGTGACCCCGTTGACCTCAAACCTATGATCTTCCACCTCGCCCTTCTAGAGTGGAATTATAGGCACCACCCATATTCTTGTGCCTGGCTATATTCTTAGATGACTAACTCTGTGGAGACTGAAGTGGAGACTAACAAGAATGGAAGGGAAAGTTAAGTTACCATGGCAACCAGGGATCTGGGATCAAGGACAGTGGCCTCAGAAGTGGACAGAGTGGATGCATTAAGATACCTCCTGGCATGTTTGCTGTAGGTTCAGTTTGAGAAGACAGAGGAAGATGTCAGGTGACACCAGATTTGGGGGTTGAATTAAGTGGGCTGTGGTACCATTTCCCGAGGAACTGAAGAAGGGAGCAGAGAGGTGGTGAGTTCCAGAAACCTAAGATAACTGAGAGAGGCTGGGCTCAAGCTGTCCTGAGAAGGCAGCATATATTTATATATAAACAGATAGCAGGATGAGTAAAGCTTAAGAAGCTAGAGAGCAGACCAAGCTGAGCAACGAGGAAGGGTGGGCATGGGCACAAAGACACTGGGGTGCGACAAGGGAGATGAGGGGTGATGCGTGGAGAAATGGCGGAGGGGGAGAGGACCATCAAAACATAGTGTGCTTGAAAATCCCCTCAAGATTATCTAGTATTTTACATGCTAGCTGCAACGTAAATAAGTAAATAAAAGAAGGCGGCCAGGGCTAGGAGGGAGCACACCCCCCTGGCAGGCACAGAAACCTGGAACACAGTGGTAGGAGAAGGGACCGTGGTGGGAAAGCCTGAGGTTGCCTAGGAAGGGGTGATCATAAGAAAAGGGGTTTTTGCTGAGAAGGGGGTGAAGAGTCCTGTGTAGGTCAAAGATCTTTATTATTGTTTTAGTTGATTTGCCTTTTAATGTAAAGATGCCTTGATTAGTTTAAGGGCTGAGAAGAAAGAGCCAAAAGGGAGGATGGGCTGCTGCCCTGTCATTCATCCAGCCTTGGCAGGTGGCAAGGACCATTCTGCACACAGGGTAGCTAGCAATGTTGGGCAAAGCTCTGCCCCTCTCCTTCCAAAGACTTTGTAGGGATATCATGATGATGCACACACTCATGTGAGATAAACCCTCAAGTGTAAGCTGCAAGCTTCTTCTCCGGGTGGCAGTGTGTGCACTCGGGGATTCTTCTTCTGGTTACAGCACGTAAAAGCTGTGACTCTAGCAGAAAGGGATAGTGCAAATCTAATTCAGCAGGAGTCAGCAGTTGACCTCTGGGTTGGCCACCTTGTCTAGAGTGTCATTTACAGTGCCAATGAACTTTGGTACTCAGCAAAGCCCGATGAAGGACAGGAAGTCTATATTCCTTTATGTGTGTTTTTCTCACTCTAAATCAGTCTGCAGTTTATGATGTCTGCATTACATAGCACCTTAACAATTTAACACTGATCAGTAGGATTCCTAACTAGTGCATATTCTTTTGACTTTTATTGATTCTTTTCATTATAAAAGTGCATGCTTTTTTTCTCTCCTAATTATTTGGAAAATACAAGAATATCAAAAGACCCTCTACAATCTCTAAAATTTGTGTTTTAGAGGATATGTTTATGCACACAACATGCATATTTCCCTTATTAAATTGCTGAGCCATCCCCGTGTCCTTCCTGTAAGTCATCAACAGTGTTGACAACAGGTCTTTAACATTTGCTCCTTACGTGTTGTCTTGAGAGGTTTATTAGCTTAGTTTGGCATAGCCAAAGGAGCACCATTAACAAAGTGTTGTGGTTAGAGTGAGGCTGCCTTGAGGAGGAAGCATCGGACTCAAGCACTGAGTGAGTGAGCAGCAGTTTCTCTGTAGGATTCCAGCTGATCGATTCCTCCTTAAAGGAAATGATGGCCCAAGGACACGTTAGCTGGGAGGAGCGGTTCGAATCCCCTCTGTAGCTCACCTTGAGTGCCATGCCTTGTGACAAGCATTTTTTGGACTTTGATTCAAGTTTGGATTCTCTTTCAAGTTGAGCTCCTGTTGTTTGAAGAACTGTAACTGTCTATTTATTGCGTATGCTTGCTTTTAGGAATTTCACGTTTCTGAAGATTTTAATAAAATGAATTTTATCAAGACCTATCCAGGTAATGACACACACTCTTGCATGTGTACACGTTTAGACGCAAACACATTGAAGGTAGGTTTCCATATTAACATTTCCATTATATTGCACAGTTATATGAGAGAATATTAAGTTATTTATCCTCCTTTCCTGCTTCTTGCACTGACATTTTTGTATATTGTGTAAGTATACAAGATTTAACTTCACCATTCTTCTGTTATTGGAAGAAGATGTGCACTGCTTCCAGTTTTTGATTAACATACAGTACAATATACATGCCTGCGTTTGTGTGTACATGCACATGTCTGTAGGTGTAACTCATAGTTACATGTATAACTGTGTCTGTTCTTGGCTCTAGATGTGACACTGACTCTAGATGTTTAATTTTGATGACTTCTACTTAAGACAAATTCCTACAAGAGAAATAGCCAGGCCAAACATTAAAAGTTACTTAAGTGCTAGAGATCTATTTTTGCAAACTGCTTCCCAAACAAAAATGCAACTCCTTGCAACTTCATGACCAGTGAGCCAGTGAGGTGCCTGCCCTCTTGCTGGCTCTTCCTGACATGCCACCTTATTATTTGGTTCCAGTGTGATAGAAGAGTTCACAATTTTAAAATGACTTCAGCTTTATTTAGTGTTGGTCATTTGTCTTCTCTGAATGTCCATTGTGATTTGTGTCTGTATTCCCAGGGAGTTGCAGTGTGTTGTAACTGAGTTAAAAGCTGTGCTTTGGAACATCTATGAAATACACCTTTTAAGAAATTTGTTGCCGGGCGGTGGTGGCGCACGCCTTTAGTCCCAGCACTCGGGAGGCAGAGGCAGGCGGATCTCTGTGAGTTCGAGGCCAGCCTGGTCTCCAAAGCGAGTTCCAGGAAAGGCGCAAAGCTACACAGAGAAACCCTGTCTCGAAAAAACAAAAAAAAAAAGAAATTTGTATTTAAGTTTTCAGAGTTCTCTATGGGTTATATACAGCATAATTCTGTAGTGCTTTCTAGAGGTTGCATTTCATTGGTGACCTTTGACATCTAGAAAACCATATGGAAGACTGAACAGAGTTTGCCACATTTTTAATTCTACCGCATGGAAGATTTTAGAAACGGTGAGTGAAGCAGGATAAGCATTAACAGGATTCGCCATCCTTTCCTAAAAGACAATTTTGAAAAACTACAATAGCAAAAAGGATCTAAGCCTCCAAATAAGATAGCCGTTCCTGAGAAAATCAACTGACTGCTGTTCTGAGGCCTTTACTGTGAGCTGGGATAAGTCTTACTTCAGTTTGACAGCCACAGGTTCAGTGGGAAAAGTGTTTGGAGTCAGACAGAACAAATTCGTCTTTTAATTAGAAGACGTAGTCTCTGATTTTGTAAAAGCCATGTTCCTCGGTGTTTGTATCTGAAACTGATATGCACCCCGTGTCTGTGGAAATTAGAAATAGCATCAAAGCAGAAAAACATGAAACGAAAAGTGCACTCAGACCCACAGCAGTCCCTCAGTCACCGTCTGGGATCGGGGTTGCTTGGTCCTATGGCTGAGAGCCGTGGAAGCACCCTTGCAGTTCCGGGGCTTTCGGGGGAGGGGGGCGTGTAATTTTTAGCATAGCCTCCTCGCAGTCTGTGTGCATGACAGTCCCACTGCCTCTCGGGGTCCCCGAGTTCTTCTGAGCCGCTCACACAGCTGAGAGCAAAGGCAGCGCTTTCTCTGTCTGCCCTTTGGCCTTACTGAGCATTTACTAGATACCTACTGTGTGCAGTCTCGTGCCTGCTAGGGCGGAGTCATGCCACTGGCTTGGGTACCTGATCAACCTGAAACATTGCAGCGGTTAAGTGATAGCACGACTTCCTCCTTTCTCAGCTACTGGTTCAGAGGGCTTTACAGATGCTCTGTCGTTATAAATAATAATAAAAAATATACACAGAACTATTCCATAAAGGGCTTCTTTTAAAATTTCACAAAATTGCATTTGTTCTTATATACAATGCTAGTATTATAAAAAGAATCCTATTAGTAATGATTTATTTTGGGCGGTGGTGGCGCACGCCTTTAATCCCAGCACTCGGGAGGCAGAGGCGGGAGGATCTCTGTGAGTTCGAGGCCAGCCTGGGCTACAGAGTGAGATCCAGGACAGGCACCACAACTACACAGAGAAACCCTGTCTCAAAAAACAAAACAAAAACAAAACAAAACAATGATGATTTATTTTAGAATGGGTATATCTTCTATTAGATAAGTGCAAAAAGGTATTAGCCAGGTGTATGGGTGACTTTTCTGGTTGTTCTGACCAAAGACCTAACAAAAAGCAAATTAAGAGTGTAAAAAAGGGTTTAAGTTGTTTTAAAGTTTGGGGGTCCATCATCTATCATGGCAGGAAAGGGATGAGCCATGATGAACTAATCAGTTAAAAAACACCTTTACCTCTTGAGAAAAATCTGCCTCTGTTCATATAGATAGCATAATAAGGTCTTCAGAGCAAAAATAAAAATGTTCCTTTGAACACAATCAGACAGACAGATAATAAAAAAATAAAAATAAACAAAAAACAAAAAAACTTGTTTGCTGTTATTGGAATCCTTCTTAAACATGACCTTTCGTGTTTCCTGGCTTCTGACAGCCTTCCCTGTGTGGTGGCCCAGGGCTTTGGAAAGAGCCCTTGCCAGAACATGTGGGGGATAGAGAGAAGCAGATTGTCTGGAGTCTACTGGGATCCTGACTACACACTGTGGAAGCTGAGCCTCAGCTCTCTCCCAGTGTGGGGAGGTGTTTCTGAAGACAGCCTCTGTCCTGGAGGGCACTGACCCTCCGTTTGTCTCCTGCAGCCCATCAGAACCGAGTGTCTGCTATCATCTTCAGCTTGGCAGCCGAGTGGGTGATCAGCACAGGCCATGACAAGTGTGTGAGCTGGATGTGCACGCGCAGTGGGAACATGCTTGGCCGCCACTTTTTCGCATCCTGGGCTTCCTGCTTGCAGTATCCTTCAGAGTGCCGAACCCCTTCTTCCAGCCACCTCACACCTCACTGTTGAATTTGAAATTGAACTGTTAGTTATTCTGAAGGTAGAATGATTCCTGTCGATTTAACCTAGAATCCAAGAATTTCCGTGTCTGCCCTTCTTTTGTATAAAGCATATCTGTTAAAAATAATGACATAAATATGTTCTCTGTGGGAAATGTGTTTTTTTTATACAAAGTTGTACAGCCCTGCTAATGTAAGTCCTACCTTTCATTCCAAAATGAAAAACTTCACCTTACCCTGGGCTTTATACATGGGCTGCCAGGAGCTTTATACAAAACTTCACTTAATGCTTTTTTTTTTTTAATGAATGTGAAAGGGGCTTTGATTCTTAGAGTACTGTCATGGTGCCTCAGGCTCCCCAGATGCTAGCAATCCCTGCTTTAGCTTTCCAGCCATACGGATTGGTTTACACACAGCTCACCTCTGCTTGCACCAGTGACAACATGATGAAGACCGTAAGCACAGACAACACCCTAAGACAGTTCATGGTACTGTGCTGTCCTCCCCTACACACACACACACACACACACACACACACACACACACAGTTAAGGCTCCAACAGGGGAGAAGTGCTCATATATGCTTATATATTATATCATATGTTACATTCTAAGTGAGTTTTTCTGTCATGGATGAGAGCTCTCGTGATAACTTTGCAGAACAGAATCACAGCCATGGCCTGGCTTGTAGTTTTCCTGACCTTGTGTTCTGGACTATTAGTAGTCACTCGGTTTTGTGGACAATGTTGGTTTTCTACAAATGTCCATGGTTACAGAGTGAGAGAGGAATGAGTTGTTACTGGTAGTTAATATGCTTTCATCTGGCTACCACCACAGATAGCTGATGTCTGGATTATGGAACTACCCTCTGTAAGTTAAAGTAAGCCATGGTCTTCATGAGTCCGTATCCTGTGCTTGGCTGTCAGTATGTCATCCTTTTCAGAGACATTTCATAAAATGACATCCTGTTGCATTGTGTGTGTGTGTGTGTGTGTGTGTGTGTGTGTGTGTGTGTGTGTGTGTGTGTGTGTTTGCTGTTCTCACTGTTTAGCAACTTCATTCTTTAATGTTTTGTTACAACTTGATTGTAACTGCCTATCTGTCATCTCCCCCAGCTCTCATGTTTTTTATTGCTGGTTCCATATGCTTCCCTCACTATAGTAACTGTTGGCTGGATACTAGCTTTCCTTACAAATCCAGCTGCTTTAGTTTTTCTTCCAGGGTGTACCTGTCACTTCCTGCCATTTGCTCATTCATTGCCTTTCAGGTCGTGATTGAGGTTTGTGGTCACTCTCCTGGAATACCTGAGTTCCGTGTTAAACCTTTGTCTATGGCTGGTATTGCTTGCTTCGTGGGAGTATGATGAGATGGGTCCTGTTACCTGTCCTTGACTGCTTCTCAGGTATGATCTGGACACTCAGCACGCCTTCATTGGCGATTACTCGGGACAGATCACCCTGCTGAAGCTGGAGCAGAGCACCTGTTCAGTTATCACGACCCTCAAGGGACATGAAGGTAGGCTGTGGTCATAAGTTTCTCACCTATGTTAGGCATTCAGTGCTGTGGTTTTGGGAGTGGTCCCCTCCTTGTGACCAACCAGCTTTCAGTTTGATGGGATGGAAAAGAAAACTGTTGGTCAGATGTCACCTTCAATTTCACACATCAGAAATCCTGTCTGAATTGCTCAAAGGAACGCTTTGTGTGGCTTACCTTGTTGGCTTATTGATTGATCCACGGTTTCTGATGCTACCCCTGTCTATCCTGAAACTTAGCATGCAGCTCAGGCTGGCCTCAGTCCACAGTAATCCTGCATCAACCTCCTAAGTGCGGGAGTTTATAGTTGTGAGCCACCATGCCCAACAAGCTTTTAAAATTATTGTTTCCATAAGAACTTCTCCGGAGCAGGGTATAGTACTGGTTTTGAACCCAGGGCCGGTACATGCCAAGCAAGAACTCTACCACTGACCTACATCTCCATCTTCAGACCATTTCTTTTAAACAGATCTTTGGAAGACTTCCCACCACTGTTATTTTTCTTTTGTTAGTTTCTAGAGTGGTACAATTAGAGAAACTCCGTGGACTGGTCACCCTTATACTTGGTCACCGTGCACTGGGTAATGACTTGGGAGAGTGAAGCATTAGATAAAACTCCTTGTTTCTGTAGTGCAGTGTGGGGTGGGGCTCAGTGGAGGAAAGTAAAATTCTGTTGGCTGAATTGGGCAAACGTTTTCTGTGCATGTGAATGATAAGTGAATTTCCTCGACTACTGAGCTGAAATGTAATCTTTTTGTACAGATGGTTGGATCCCATTTCTGTGTGAGTCCCAGATTGGAACTTGGAGGTCTCTAGTTTAGACTAAAGAATTGAAAATTTGTTGAGAGGATCAATAGTGTGTTTATTTAAGATGGTACTTAGGCTTCTGAGTGCAACATGTTGGACTCATCAGACACTGTCCAGCTAAGTTGTTTAGATGAAATAGACTATCCAAGATCAGGGACTCTGGGGGAAAGCTGTGGCAGAGAAGCAAGGTTCCAGGTGAAGCTGCATCTTCTAAGGACAGAATGGGCCCTGAGGCTGCTGAGTGACTTTCCTATGTCAGACCGTGTTTATCTGTGGTTTAGGCCACTAGCTGACACGTGAGGGTCACAGGACTCAACACAATTCATGGAAAAAAAAAAAAAAGGGTCCCGAAGCTCAATTTGCCGAGTGCTTTTTGGTTTGGTTTTCACTTTATTTTGTTTTGAGAAGGTTTGTGTGGAAAACTGACTCATTTTACTTGCTCGTGAAGGTGACCTCATTAGTTTCTGTACCTCCAGGAGAATTGTTAGTGTGTGTCGTGTGTCACTGGTTCAGGGTTACTGTTTGTTAATAGCTGTTTCCTAGGCCAGTAGTAACGGTGGAAGACAAATCTCTAGAAACAAAAGATTCCCCCAAGGGCATTCAATTTGATAGGCTAGCTAGTACAAGAGTGTGAAATATAAGGTTTGGATTTTTTTTTTTTTGTTTTGTTTTGTTTTTCGAGACAGGGTTTCTCTGTGTAGCTTTGCGCCTTTCCTGGGACTCACTTGGTAGCCCAGGCTGGCCTCGAACTCACAGAGATCCGCCTGGCTCTGCCTCCCTAGTGCTGGGATTAAAGGCGTGAGCCATCACCGCCCGGCTGGGTTTGGATTTTTTTTTTAAGCTGAATTTCTTTGATATATTTATTTCATATACCTGCACCATTTTTTTTTCTTGAGGCATTAATTTAATTTCCACACATAAAAACATCCTAGGGTAAATGTCTATAAAGTCTCATGGGTCTGGAATAACCTAGATCTGCATCTTATATAAAACACCCACAGTAAACTACAGGTGTTTTTTCTTGACATATTGGTGGGATTTCTTTCTATCGAGAAGTTTTCTGATGTTTTATTTTTAACTACTTTATAAATTATTGGTACAGAGCAAAGAAAACCTTTTTTTTTTTTCCATGAACCATTGAGTTTATTGGGGTTCCTTACAGGAGCAGGGATAACTCAAAGGCAGCTGCATCACTGAAAGTCCACCATGAGATGCAGGAAGTAAACAACTCACAAGTCTCAGGAAGTCCCTGAGAGTTAGCAGATGCACAGAGAACCCTTTCCCCACTCACCAAGGATATATAAGCAGTAACTAACGATGGCTAAGAAGAGACTCTGCAACCTTTTGAGCTGCCTGCCAGGAAAAACTTTTAAAGCTATGTGGCTCACAGCCAGAAATCCTCACCTTCCAAGTTTGGATAATGGATTTGCGGTGGTTTCTCCATGACTCATGAGAGTTGTGGTTTGAATGGGTCTTTGCACGACAAAGGTCGATGTTTCACTCAAAGGCTCAGCTGGTAGTGTGGTTCTCCATGCAGTTGTTGCACATATGTCCTGATGCGGAGCTCTGTTTGACCCCTCTCTCGCGTGCCTAGGTAGTATCGCCTGCCTTTGGTGGGACCCCCTTCAACGGTTACTCTTCTCGGGAGCCTCCGACAACAGCATCATCATGTGGGACATCGGCGGAAGGAAAGGCCGGACACTTCTCCTTCAGGGCCACCAGTATGTGACCATTTGGGGTTGGGACCGTGAGTCAGGAGAGGAGGGCACTGGTATTCTGGACTATCTTCATTTTAACTGCTTCTGTCACTCCTATGTAAAAAGGAGAAAATGGAGTGTGAGGTGTTCTTCCTCATTTAGTCTAAAGAAATCACCACTCTTTTCTCCCAAGGAATGGTCCTGGTGAAATACCTATTTAAAGCACCATGGATCAGAGACTGGAGGCGAGAACTTTGACCATGGCAGATTGTGTGTGTTCAAGTACCAGGCTACTCCTGAGCTGGGGGCATAAGCATTCTATTAAACTGTAAAATACATTTCATTAAAAAGGGTCCTGTGCATGGATAGCTAAGTCACTTAAGCCCTGACACTGTAATACTTAGGGCTTGTCCTACAGCCTGGGAAAAGGAGCGCCTCCTTCACTCCTTCACTATGTTTTCCTTTCTTCCTTGTTGCTGGTCAGGCCGTACCTGTTGACTGTAATTACAGTCAAGTTGAAATTTAGCCAGGAAAAAAGTTAGGTGCAAAAGTTACCAGGTCAGGAGATTGTTTGCCTGGCATCGAGGTCCGAGAGCCTTCGGGAAGAGGGCAGAGTTCTACCTGGGTGTGCATGTGAGTCACCTGTGGCTGCGTGGGCAGGTGGCTGGTCATGGCCCTGGTGATCTGACTACTTTTTCATATGAACTGTTGCCAGTCAGAGTTGCATTCTGTTTTGTCTTTGAATAAGTAAATGCATTGTGGTGATGGACACAGACATCTGTAGTTCTTAGCCCTCTCCAACTTGCATTTTAAATGACAGGTTCAGAAGGAGCAGCATTTATTTTGTAGAGACTATGATCTGGGTAATGGTAAGGCATGCTGGGTGAAGTCTGTCATACAGTCCTTGTCACCACATCAAATAATAAAGTAGCCCCCGGGAACAGAGGGAGGGAGAGTGCTGCGCTCCAGTGACGGGCTCTGGGTTTGTCTGTGTTGACATGTGACTTGTGTACCCTTTGCAGTGACAGGGTGCAGTCACTCTGCTACCTGCAGCTCACGAGGCAGCTTGTCTCCTGCTCCTCGGATGGCGGGATTGCGGTGTGGAACATGGATGTTAGCAGAGAAGAGGTAAGAAGCAAGAACCTGGCAGGCGGGTCAAAGGAGAGCCTTCTCCGGCTTCTCAATCTGCCACCTTGCAGGTTGGAAGTTGTGTAAACAATCCCGCCTCTCTTACTGCTCCACCTGTGGATTATTGTCTAACAAAGTTCTTTCAAGTTCTTAACATTAACTTACTTTATTGGTGTGCGTGCGTGCGTGCGTGCGTGCGTATGTAAGTATGATATGTATGTATCATATATATATATATATATATATATATATATATATATATATATATATATATATATATACACACACACACACACACACACACACACACACACACACACACAGGTTACACATGCATGTGAAGGCCAGAGGTCAAAATTGGGTGTCTTCCCCTCTTACTCTCCATCTTAGTATTGGAGACATCAAGGCTGGTGCTCACTGATTGGACTAGCCTGGCTGGCCAGCAAACCCCAGGGATCCCCTTTTTCCACCTCCCCAGCACTGGCATAGACCACCCTGCCTGGCTTTTTGTGTCAGTGCCTGGGGTCTGAACTCACAGACAGCACCTTGCTGACTCAGCCGCCTCTCCAGCCCTCTCTGGTGTGCGGTAACCTGCACCGGGTGAGACTTTCTGGCATTGGTGAGCAATACAAAAAGATGGGCAGCATTTAGGTTGAATATCAGCTTGGACTCTTTGCCACCAGCAGCCTTCTAGCTCATCCAGGGATCTGGACCCATGCAGGCCTTCTGAAGTATTCATGTGACTCGTAGCATTTCAGTTTGGAAGCCCTGAGAAGGATGTCGCAGGACATAGCTAGGCAGTGTCGTCATGGAGAAACTGTACCTCTGTTCTCTGCTTTTATTTTGTCCTGCGCTCTCTTCCACTGGGTCTGTGCTGATAACAGATTTCTTTTTAGGCAACTTGATTTTTAAATTTCATTGAGCCACTAAGTAGGTGTGAGACTTTGTTTAGGTTAAGTGTTTTAATCTCTGGGTGTCTGTTTTCTCCTCTACAAAGTGAAATCATTTCCTGAGATGATGTCTAAGGCCTCCTCCCTTTCTTTAGCATCTGTAACTGTCTGCTCAGTCTCCCTGCCATACTTTTATTTTAGGACACACTGCAGGGACTGTGCTTGACCTTGTCATCGTGTGGTTCTTCAGTTAATCACCCCATGCAAATTTCTGAAAATAGATTCCGGTGGAGGGATGTGTCCGTCCATAGGCTTTTTATAGCTGTCATCAGATGGTTTTCAGGCAGGATTTCCTGCTCATCTCTGCTAGGACCAGGGCGGTCCTTCTTTGCTCAGTGCTATCTGTGGCTTGTGATGGTGATGGCAAAAGCAAAGTGCTGTGGATATCTCTCTATATAAATAAAACACTGATGGCCAGTGACCAGGCAGGAAGTATAGGCGGGACAAGGAGAGAGGAAAATTGGGAAAACAGGAAGAAGGGGGGAGAGACACTGTAGCCACCGCCAGGACAAGCAACATGTAAAGATGCCGGTAAGCCACCAGCCACGTGGCAAGGTATAGATTTATAAAAATGGGTTAATTTAAGATATAAGAACA